CCCCAAAACCCCAAAACCCCAAAACCCCAAAACCCCAAAACCCCTGAAAGTTCACCAAAATTGAAGAGAATTTAGCTGAAAATATCTGAACAATGATATTTGACGTAAAGACGGTATATGATATAAAATCGATACAGGAGAGATGTTAGACGTTGATGTTCTCGTTTCTATCGGACTGGGAGTAATGGGAGATCATCTCCTCCACCTCCCTCTTCGTATATGAGAAATTTGTCTTCGCTTTTAGCGATTGGATAAGCATGCAGTAGAAGTCATAAGCTTTAGCAGCGAGTTCTTGCGTCATATAAGTTCCAATGTAAGTCTTCTGTTTGTTTATAGCTATTAGAGCTTGCCAGTGGGGCCCGTTCTTGCAGACACCAATGTATTTAGACCTCTTCCTACTTGCATTTATACGATTCCTCCCTTTCTTGTTTCCAATGAATATGATTTCATCAGGATTCTTGAAGATACTGATAGCGTCTATAAAACTCAGCAGCTTCTCATCGAAGTTGAGACTTCCAATCCTTGTCTTTCTATGAGACTTTGGACTTGAGTGAGTCTTGTCCTTTAAGGAGCTTTCTCCTATGCACCTCACCTCAATCCTAGATGTTCCTTCTGAACATAAACAAAAATGCTGGGAGAGTACTTCAAAACTAGCCTGTAACATCTGTGAGGTTATGAATAGGTCATAGTTATAAGAATTCATCAATTCGTTAGTCTTTAGTGATGAAATTTCTTGGTATAAACCAAGTTTTGGTACATTTTCTTCTTGAATCATTATATTTTATTAATTACCCAAATTCTTTCTTTTAAATATTTGATCAGGCCAAGTTACTTCATGTTTTGTAGCACTTGTTATTTTAAACCAAAGCTATAGGTTGTAGAAAACTCAAGAAAGAGATGTAGAATAAACTCAACGCGAATAATAGAGACTCCTATATCCTTTAAGTAATCTTGGAGGTTCTGATTTGTTAAGACTTAATTAGTTCCAATTTTCAGTATTAACTTCTTTTCAAAATTTCTTTATTTTGGGAGATATTTCTAATTAATCAAAAATATTTTAACATAAAAAAATTTATTAGTACTCATTTTTGTTACTTGCTGAAATTTTTTGAAATATAGCATAATGATATAACTCAAGAGATGATACTATCTGTATAGAATAGTAAGGGCAAGTCTCTCTTTATCAACTGGGAGAAAATAGCATATCCTTTGTGACAAACAGCTACAACAGGGGTATCCAAATCTTCTAAATATATCCAGAAAGCCCCTAAATTTCACTAAAATTAACCAATAAACAGTATCTTTGACCCATATCAGCTCCAAAGACTCACCTTCAGCTCTTCTCTTCACTCGCCTCCACCCAAAACCTAATTTTTAACCCAAAGACACAGTCACCTTCTCTCAAGTCTCATTCTCTTCTCTTCCTGCCTTTACCTCTTCTTCAGCTTCTTGCTGCACTAACCGGCTTTAAAACCCTGATTGCAATCACAGTTCAGCAATTATGAATTATTTACCATTCCTCCCCTTCAATCTCCCTCAACACCTTAGGGGTTTTGGGGTTTTGGGGTTTTGGGGTTTTGGGG